ATATATACATTACATGTTTGTTGGTTATTCACTTTCACATACGTGTGCAGTTACTACTACTATCGCTCCGGGAATATATAAGATTCACTCGCAGATACAATTTTACGATTGTATGACCATACCATACCAGTTGTCATCTCATCTCCGCGCTTTCTTCTCGTTTTGCCAATTAGTGCTCGAGAGCGCCATGGTATGACTTTTTACATGTGCAAAAAATATCCACTATACTACAGTCTTGTAGCATTAATATGATAAATATATGCGGGATATATTTACCTGGTCATGAATAGCAATTTCTCAACCGACTACTTTGTCGACACACCTGTCTGTTACATATTGATCTCTCTGCTTGTCCCTAGATACTGCCAAGTCATGCAAAAATCTTTAGTTCAGTGGATTGGTTAGTTTCTGTGTTTGTTTCCGACTAGTCTTATCTATAAAAAAAATCTGTGCTATATTTGTACCTACAGGCTACGGAGCCATTCATGAATTGATTACTCACCCAGAATGCAATCCCTCAGCACTTCTTTGTTTATGTGATTGTCTCCGACTGGTCCTATCTCATTCTGTTTCTGTGGTGTATTCGTACCTGCAGGCTGCTGAGTCTGGTTTGCCTCAGAATGTGGCCTTCGAAGCACTGCACATCCGCAGTTTAGCGACTGTCAGCATAGACGACGGTATGCCACGCTTAAGACTGGAAGTGTATTTTACACACGCACACATAACAACAACCATACTATCCCACTAGCATTCACAATAACATGCATACTATACCACTAGCATTCACAACGACATGCATACTATGTAACCACCAGGTTGGCAACCGAATACAAATAGCGTACGCATCAAAAAGTATGAGCAAAGCACTTGATGTTAGTAATTTAGTATGCATGTCCACACTAAAGAGCCTCTTAGTTCCTGGAGCAATGTTTAATGCTCCACGTGGCAACGGATCTTAGCATACCCAATGCCGCACAGGGTGGTGTGTCTGTGACTGCATTGCCGCTATGTTACCTACATGCGGCATGTTCCTGTCCATTCTATTTACTATTCGGACCTTCTGGTACATCGTGTCTGGGCGCATACTTTGACTGTTTTCAACACCTGTCTACTTATTTTTTGCTGCAAGCCGTGTGTGTGTGTGATTTGTATATTCTTTTGAGACGCATGTGTTGGATGGCCGGGGGTGGGTCCCCAGATCTGCTGCATACAGAAATCAAAATGTAAGTGGAATTCATTAGTACTTTTAAAATGCAAATGTAATTAATTAGCAACACCCCGCACTGAATTCCAACAGATAATGTGAACCCCGCTGCACTGGAAGCGTACGAAGAGGTGAGTGCGCGAGAGGCGAGATACTTACGACAAATTATTGGCGAGAATTCGAGGTGGTTCCAAAACGGAGTGGCTTACACGGCGAGCTTGTCAAAGGATCTCGATACCATTGAGAGGGTAAGCAAGTGTGGATGTAGGTACATCGACATTTCTCTATACAGATATAGTGGGATGTACATAGATGCCAGATTAAAGATATATATGTGTAGAACTATGTATGTGTTTTACCCGAGCATTCTATACACGTATGTCATTTGTAGTATACAAATTGTGTGTTGTTCAGCTTGTACTCGCAGATACCGATAAAATGCGAATCGCAAGATATCTATGTATCTGTAGAAATCACGAGTTAGTTCATGAATGCTTTACAACCGGCCTTTGCATGTACCACCGTACTTAGAGTGTCCCGTCAATCCTCTCCTATCATACAAACACAGGCACAAGGGGTGACAATCATGCAGTCCTTTACATGTACCACCGTACTTAGAGTATCCCGTTAATCCTCTCGTATCATACAAACACAGGCACAAGTGGTGACCATCATGCAGTCTGAGCAAGTGACAGTGGAGTTACAGCAAAGAATCGATGAAATGCTGCGGCAGGTGGACGTTGTGGCGAAGAAGATCCGAATGTACGATACAGAGCTAGCGGTATGTACGAATGTACGATACAGAGCTAGTGGTATGTATTGGCCACGATATACATGTGCACCACAATCCGCACTGAGATAGATACACAACCCAACCATGATCGGCATACATGTGTAAATTCGCATAGATGTTTGTATCTTTATCTAAATGTCCATGGGTAAGTGCTGGATAACTAATCATAGTGTAGATAATACAGTACTGTGTATTCCCTCTCCCGGCACCCTTCGGCGGCTTATTACCCCAACCTTGTCATTCTGCGCGCCCCATTAGCAGACCACATGGGGGTATCAACGAATTTATTTCTCGGCCCAGATACTGGGGGCACATATTGTCTGTCCCAATTTATGTTTCACATCCCTTCGACACGAGATTTTTAGTTCACCCTGAAACCCTAAACTCTTAAAACCTTAAAACCATAAAACCAATTTGTACATTAGGCATTATAGAAGCACATTTCTGCTGAAATAGATATAAATATATATATATATATATTTGTATATATATATATATATATGTTGTGTGTG